CATATTTTAGGGTCACCCACTACTACACGATTAATATAATTTCCAGTACTCAAAGACAACTCAAGTTTCTGGCGGCGAAAAGTGCCAAATCATCTCCTTTGAATACATCAACATTGAATGGAACTACTGGTTCTCCTTCTCTAAATGGCTCCTTGATTTCTTCGAAGAGCTCTTTTCTGCCTGTTGTTCCGGCTAAGGTAGATTCGTCTCCAGTGTGTTTTTTTGCAGTCGTAATAATGAGACTTTTCTTGTGTACCACAAGTTGCGAAGTTCTATTGGGTGCCAAAATATAGTTCAATCAATTTAGGTTGGCGACACGGTGAAGCCCTCTCCAAGGGGACGAACCGCAGCTATTCCTGGACGAGATCTGAGTTATACCCCTAATGTTGCGCCACCTACGTTGGGTAAAGGAATCCGCACAAATGCGCTGAACAGCGCGAATTCCATCACGAAGAGGAGCCTCGACGGGAGTCTTATAAACAAGTATGTCGTTACAATATGCACTTAGTTGATGCTAAGCATTCCATTTCTTACAGGACAGTGGATGCAGCCATAGAAACATCACTTGCTAATGGGACAAATATGCCAAACTCTGGAAGGCGTCGAAATCTTAAACATCTGGATTTGTCCATGGTCATGCAGGTCCTTGGTTCTCGGAGCTCTGAAGGCGACGACGAATCCCAGGGACGTGATCCAGATGAGTTACCATCTACGGATAATTATGCTGTGGATAACCACGAAGTGTATAGGTGAGCTGCAGGAACCATTTCGTTTTCCACAAATTCTAGTGGACTTTTTTTGTCTAACAAGTCCACCCGTCCATTTCAGTCCCGAACTCGATCCCAGGGAGGTGGCCATCAAACGAGGAGAGGCTTGCAGAAATGGTACCCTGCCGCGTTTTCAACTTGACGGTAGTGCTTGCGAAGAGTCAGTGATGGCTTCGAGCAAATCTTCTGTTGCTCAAGCAACAACGGTAACATCATCAAGTGCTTCGTCTGAAACGGCGCGCACGTCACCACGAGTTGTTACCTCGTCCTCGTCACAAGCTATTGTGCGTCTAAATGCACCAGATTATTTCACTGAACCGACCATAAATGCAATGCGTGAAATGGTAAGAAATCTTAGAAGTCTTTCGTTCTTGCTGGTCATTTCTATACATTTCAAGGTGGTCGAAGGGAAGGTTATCCTGAATAATGGACTCACGGTTGGTCGCGCTACTTACGGAAGTGTCTTTTGGCCAGGACGAATTGAGTTGGAAAATGTTGCCTTGGATGAGGTAAGATGCGCTAATAGTTAATATTAATATTATAGATTTAAATAATACATTTCGCATTATAAAATCACCCATTCCTGATAGGTTTTTAGGACTTTCCCTGAAAAAGGGTCTATTTTCCTTCATTCTACTTTTTTTTGGTTTTTGATTTGCCTTTTTTTTCGACGCTTCTTAGAACTGAGAATAGAATGAAGCAAAACTATATTTTCAGATTGTGATATTCCGCCACAAAGAGGTTACTGTGTATCCAGATGAATCAAAGAAACCTCCGTTGGGTGAGGGGTTGAACCGTCCAGCCGAAGTGACTCTCGAAAGAGTGTGGTATATTGATAGAAATACTAAGGAAGAGATCAGAGTAAGTATAAAATAGACTAGTTTTTATGAGATTTGACTTAATAGGAAACTAAGTTTAGTGTCTTTTCTAGGACCCACTGAAGCTGATTGATCTTGGATGGCGTGATCGTTTGGAAAAGGTGACGGCACGTATGGGCGCCACTTTCAAAGATTATCGCCCTTCAACTGGGAGTTGGGTGTTCCGTGTTGAGCACTTTAGTAAGTATGGGCTACCGGTGAGTATTTTGTGCTCAGCATTAACCTTTACTATTGTCAGACATTTTCATTTGTTGCACAACAATCTCTCGAGTTCATAATAGTCCTCATTCACAGGACGACGAATGTGACAGTGATGTAGCCGTAGTTCCAAAAGCGCAAGGGGGATCAGCTCATGGCAACATTTCTGCGCATGATCTGGACACGTCATTGGAAGAGCAGCATATACAGTCATATGTGCAGCGAGCAAGAGTACCGAGGGTAGAGCTCCATACCGAAGGAGACGAATCGAATCACGAGGTACAGTTGTAATAACTACGTCGAAATCCGACAACTTCAGAGCCAGAGCTCGTTTAAAATTCTGCTGTTTAGCGGCTAACGCAAGGTTAAGATATGACTCTTGCGTACATTTTGCTAACTTTCTTAATCTTGAGGTATAACCGTAATCGTATTGTGTAAAGCTTTCGCTTTTTATTTCTGAAAAGCTTCATATTTTTTACCCTAAATTGTTATACTATTGAGCTGCTATCAAGCATTGTCGGGTGATTTCAAGTTTCCAATTTTTGGTAGTTTTTGTTTAGTCTATTCATGTTATCATACAACTGATATCCAAGATATTCTGGCGAACTACTTTGGTCTTCAGCTAATTTGTCAATTTTCGGATATGGTAATAAAGAATTGAACAAATTTTTGTAATCGTGGCATAGAGTAGAGTTGAAAGCAAGAGTAAATTTAGAAATTATATAGTCGGAATAAAATGAAGTTGATAAAGAAGTTGATCAACTTCACGTTTCGAACCGCGTAATCTCGCTACTTTTACACACTAAAGAAAAATACCGCATAGGTGCGCCTACTTTTGCTTAGGATAGTGTTTAGAGGTAGCAATTTTGTCGTAAAGTGACTTTGAACTGTTAACTACGTCCATTGTTGATTTCTGCTGGATCCGGAACATAGTTTTTTCAAATTCATTTCAAACGTTCTGATCGATGCTCTTAAATTAACTAACTGGTGTGTTTCAAACTTGTTCAAGTTCATAAATTTAGATGATCATTGAGACAGAGGTTAACGTACTGCCGAGACGACATGCAAAATCGGAAGTGCAGGTAAAATTATTTTCTAATTTCGTGGTTCGTTTCATTTTCGTCTTCGATAGATTCTTTTTCAAAATTCTGGGAAATGAATTTGACAATAATCTGGTAAGATAAAAAATTAGTAAAGTCTTGAAAGTTTCTTTTAAGCCCAATATTTCCTACAACATGAAAAAAAGTGTTTCATAGGTGAAAGGCCTAGGAGGTAGAATGGATATGGACTACGATGACGAGGCGATGTACGATGATTACGATATCGCAAATTGGAGAGATAGCGAGGCAAGATATGGTTTAAGTGTGTATCATAACGTCTAGTGGTATACATGTTCTCAAGTGATTTTTGCTTTCAGGAATTTCAGGTGCCCGAGAAGAAACCGAAGATGGAAGATGTGGTAGAGTACGTCTATGAAGAAAGCAAGTATGTTGTTTCGTGTCAGCTTTTATCGATGGTGAGGATTTAGGGATACTTATAGGCGACTAATGGAGCTTTCAACATTGTCTGCACGACCCGTCCGTCGTATAACACTAACTCGCCGTGAACCGAGCAATGTGTTTCGTGGAGGAGTTGAGGTTCGTGGTCTCCCTCTCTAAGTTACGACGCAATCTGGGGAGATTGGAGTGCCATATATTGTAGATCTAAAGTTCTTCAACATAAACATATCTTCCTTCTAGGCAAGTAAGACTGTTGGATATAAAAAGAGCAAAATGATAAATGTCGCCTGCGCCCAAGGGTCATCCAGCCGTGTCAGCTGGAGTCAAGGCAAGTTTCCGTCCTTTTGAAAAGAGTCTTCATTGCTCTTTAAGAAAGTGAGAAGTCGGTGAAATCGAACTTCATCCCTATTACAGGTGGACAGTTTTCATTCAGCATACAACCAACATCAAATGAGGTTCAGATATGTGCGCTCCAGTTTGACAGCAACGTTCCGAAGGTGAGTCCCATGATATTTTGTTTGCCACGTAGTGCCGCAGTATGAAGGTCTTAGTGATTCTTTTCTGTCAATGAAAATTCGCCATAAAGTTGACAGTCATTCGTTTGTTCGTCTTCTTAGAAAAGCTTTCTACAATAACATGGATGAAGGGGAAATATACCAAGTCGAAGGGAAGCAGTCCCTCTGAGGGTGCGGACGATGCGCGCTTCGCAGCAAAGAGTATGCTTCAGCGGCCTAGCGGGCCACCCGCGTCGCGGCACGCCCACACTCTGTTGTCTGACTCTAGCCGTTCCAGCGAAGAGAGCGTTAGCGTTGAAGAGGCAACACTTATGAGAGTCGCATCAATGGGGAATCATTGGGCAGAGAAGGGGTCCCACTTCTTAGACTCTAGGCCGTTTCTCATGTTTTTTTGTCCCTGCACCACTGACCACTCCTATCTTGATTTCTTGTGCTGCCTTTTTTTTATCAGAACTCCGCCGTTAATGTTTATCTATGCCTCTCGAATTGTCATACCCCTACGGGTATTGCAGTGCATATCGACCCAACAGAAGGGGAAGCAGTGGTCGTGTTTATTCTGGCCACAGGGAGTCCTTGACTCAGATGTGCTTTCAGAATGACTCTGTAGCTGCTCTTAAAACTAACAACGATTCTCTGGAAAATATTATTTAGCAACTCATCGTTGATATGCTCGAGCACAATCTCCGATTATCACGCACGATTCGACGAAATGCTTCGACAAGCGCACGTGTGCGACATTGTGAGATCGAGGGACAACCTTCTGCTCCACGCGTCAAACCAGCTGATGACAGTGCACTAGAGCTTTTGGATTGCTTTCTGGCAACTGCTACACAGAGTCAGTTCCACTATTAGTTTTACTGCTATGCCATTATAACTACCTATCCCTTCATTGCCTTCGGAACCATTTGGTCTGGCATTTTAGGTGAATGTGTCATAGAGCAAAGGGTATGGCGTCTATGTCAAGCATTGTTCCCTTCTGATAAATCTGGTATGTTTCTTAAAAGATTTGTTCGGATTGATAATCTAATTTGAGTCTTGTTTTCTATAGGGCAGTGGCACTGGCAACGTTCTCACGATGTAGGCGAATGGCTTCGCGATGAAGTAGCTGCCTTACCAAGTAAGAGAGTGACTGCGGGAACAGCAACTGGTAAGGACTCAAGATCAGCAAATAGTTTTCAATTCTGAGTATCTATGGTGGATGGATGTGTAGTGAAGAAAAATGGCGTTGCTTTCAAGTTTCACAAGTCTGGGCTCGAATGTGCGCCGGTGATAGTGAGGAGGCGATGAGGATCGCAAGCGAGGACGGAATGACGATGCTGTCGTCGATGATTTGCGAAGCTCTTTCGGCTGAAGAAAAAGGACGAGGAGATTGCGCCGACATGGTTAGCTATTTGAGAGTTGGCAATTGTAGGCTCTTCATTTCAAACTTTTTTCATTTCGCTTGCCATTCTATGTTGTGGTCCATTAAACCCATGATTAGTCATTTCAGCTACAATTGTGGGAAACAATTGGTGATATTGGCACGATGGAGGAAGACCTTCTCAAAATATACCTTGTACTTGCTGGCAAGACTCATCTGGAGTTTCAACATAGGGGAAAAACCGTTAAGTTGAATTGCTTGGAAGGACTGGATTGGCGACAGGTATTCACACGATTTCTATAAATGCAAAAGTGTGCACGTAGTGCAGTCCGATTCGATTCAGGCATTCGGCATTCACCTATGGTGGGTTAACTGTGGAGGTTTTCTCGAGGACGCAGTTGATTCGTTCAGTGAAGACGTTGCCGCTGGAAGGGCCGCCTCTCCGGATTCACACGTTTTTGAGCAGGTGAATTGGGATTTCAGTTCGAGCTTCCAAAAGATTAGAACATTGGTTTTCGAAAGCGGTAAACGTCGAAATAGCCTTGTTCGTTTTATGCGCTAATTTGTACAAATACCGAGCTTATCTATTTTTTGATTTATTCCGTTTGTCTATTTGGAATGGAATATGTGTTGTTTCATTGACACAAATAAATTGGAACTTGCAGCTTATACGTCTGGCATGTTCACCAAGTCATCAAATCGAAGCTGTCCTGGATGCTGCATCGATGCTCAGTCCAAACCCACTGGATGCTCATTTGAGGTTAATAAAGTCGATTTATTTGTGACTCTGTTTGAAATGACGATGTTTCCGCATTTTAATCGATTATTATAGCTGGCATCTATGGTCACTGCTCCGAGCGCTTGGCTACAACACAATGTCACCGGCTGCCGAGCAACGTCTTCATACTTCCTACTCATCTCTTTTAACATCTCTTGAACTATGGCATCTTGCGATATTTGTACTTAGTCATATCAGTCATGATCAGTGGTAAGCGCTGAGATGAAGTCTCAATACTACTGTAAACTGGAGTGGTCAACCATTTCACACTGTCGTTTTTAGCCGAACTGCGGCGATTCGGGAGGTTTTGGATCGTATGTCGCTGACTGCTCGCTCGCAAGAGTACGAGCGAATCGCTGCCACGTGTGAAATTCCGAACGAATGGATTGCATCTGCTAAATTCGCTAATGCAAAGGTGGTTGCTGTTTTGAGTGACTTATAATAAATTCAGTCGGATTAATTAATAATTGGACTTACCATTCTCACGCTTACTACTCTCTTACGTTTACAACAGTGTTGCTTTTTCTTATATTACTAGTTTTAGGCTCAAGGAAACTACGAGCTGGCCTGCTCATACGTGTTGACCGCCTGCGACTACGCGTCCGCTTTGCAGATGTTCGCCGAAGAGGTCGCACCGAATGCAATCGCCGATGGGTGATTTGCAAAATCTCCGTCCATTGGCCGAACGAATGGAGAAAGCAGCGGATAAAATAACGGTAAATTAAAAAAGTGAAATTAGAGCGTCTGAGGATGTTTATTATTTTGCTAGCGTTTTTTCTTTGGTACCAGTGAATCAAACTCGAGGGGTTAATATGTCTTTTTTCTCCTTTATTATGGCTAAGCATTCCGACGAGGCTTATATGTTAGCGCTTTGCTTTGGTTTCTGTATGCTACACGTCATTTTATTTCTAAATTCAGGGCTGGGGTGCTGTAGGGCAAATTTATGCGGACTATTGCGTGTTAAAAACCATGGACGAAGATGAGGATACTGAAGAGAACGTAAGTCGCTGATTGACTTATCCATTCTTTAAATGCCACGGTAAGGCAATGCTTTAGGAGGAAAAGCTCCATCAGCTGGTGGATTCGATTTTTACGCGCATCAACGCACCTGTATTCAAAACTCCCATCCAACGGTATGCATCAATTTTTGTTCGGAAACTTACTTTGGTGAAATCTTCCTTCTAACCATTTTCTTTTAACATATTGTGTAATAGTTCCAACTTATTGCCATTCAAGGTTATGCATGAGGACAATGGCACGAGAATTATTCGAAATCAAGCGATTGACCGGTCAAACGGACTTCAATCTGCCACTTAGCGCTAGCCAGATTGCAAGGTTGATCCAATAATTGGGCCATTCCATAACCACTTTCACCTCACCACCAGTATTGCTCTTCGACTTTTCCACCAGAAGGTGAATAACTTGTCGCTGAATTCATGATTGTACTTCATCTGTATTTATTAAGGTTTAGTACAACGCTGAACGAGTATTGATAGATTTGATATACTGTAGTTCAGTGTAGTGTCGGTTATGGACTTCGTGTCGCGCTTGCGGTTCTCGCTCGACAATGTGTGTTACCAGCTCTTCGAGATTCGATGTACATTAGGGTTCTATGTTTTTTGTTATGTGCGTACGCGTAGGTAATTGGTCGTACTGTTATTCTGTGCGTTACGTTCGTAGCAATGCTTGATTGTAGGTTTTGGATTAACTTGCGCTGTTACTTCTTTTTGCTATATCGACAGGCAAAGCCTACTTTTCGGTCACATAGTTTAATAGTTGCTTCGAACTCGTGTTATCGTTGACATTCTATGATCAGTCTCGAATTAGTTGTGGGGTTGCTGTGCGTGCCGACGAAGCGGGGAGACCAGAGGGTGCAAGGAATGTGTGATTCTTGTGTGCGATGTTTGTATAGTCCGAAGATAGTTACGTGGCCCGCTTTTACGAGGTAGGTTGTTTCCAGGCTAAACCAGAGTTTAGGTAGAGATACAAATCGATATAGCATCACCGAAAGTTTGTACAATGCATATTAAATCTCTGCAACAGCATAAAGTAGCAACGAAAATGTTACCAATAGGCGAAGTGTATGGAAGTGGCGTGGCTCGATCGCCGGGAGGGCATTCTTTCCTTGTCTATAGTATTTTTGCTTTTCATTCTTCGTAGTGATGTATTTCAGACTGCTTTGCTGACTCTCCAATGTATAGTCTTCGTCAGGGTTTACAAAATGGGGCGATGCCTCACGTTAATGGCGGACGCGAGAAATGGGAAGTTTGATCTTCGGGCATAGTGTTATTTAGGTTCGGACTACGGGGTCTTTACGGACCGATCTTAGTGGTTTGCTTTTTGTAAAAACCACATTTAGTGACCTCGCAGCTCGTTATGGACCAATTATGTAAACAGAAACAGCCATGTATTTGAAGTGGATAATAACGGCAAAGATGAGTCGAGCTGGGTACGGATCAGGTTGGGATCCCTTCTTTATCTGAAATCTTTGCTTTTGACATTCTCAATGGTGTCTGAAGCTTCCACTTTCCAAGTGATGGTCTTTCCAGTGAGCGTCTTCACAAAAATTTGCATGCCTCCACGAAGACGGAGCACGAGATGGAGAGTTGACTCTTTCTGGATGTTGTAATCTGAGAGGGTACGTCCGTCCTCAAGCTGTTTGCCTGAAGGAGATAAGCTTATTCCATTCTTTTAGGAGAATTCGCTGAGGGACTTTTATAAGGTCAAGAACTAACCAGCAAAGATGAGCACGCTGCTGATGCGGCGTTGTGATATAGCCTTAATCGGTGAATTATCGCTTGACATTCTCAATGGTGTCTGAAGCTTCCACTTCCAAGGTGATTAGTCTTTCCAGTCAAAGTCTTGACGACAAAAATTTGCATTCCTCCTCGAAGGCGGAGCACGAGGTGAAGAGTTGACTCCTTTCTGAATGTTGTAATCCGAAAGGGTACGACCGTCCTCGAGCTGCTTTCCTAAACAACATTGGTGAGCCAAGTGAACGGGTATTTTCTTGGGAGGTATTAATAAGCAACGAAATGAACAGTACCTGCGAAAATAAGGCGTTGCTGATCTGGTGGAATTCCCTCTTTATCCTGGATTTTCGCCTTTACATTTTCGATAGTATCGGAAGCTTCACTTCGAGGGTAATAGTCTTTCCGGTCAGGGTCTTGACGAAAATTTGCATTCCTCCTCGAAGGCGGAGGACGAGGTGAAGAGTTGACTCTTTCTGGATGTTGTAATCCGACAGTGTACGACCGTCCTCGAGTTGCTTGCCTACAATTTGGAATTTAGTCAATTGAGGTGAATCCACGAGTGCTTCACAATAGCGGAAATCTGCTAATTCTCACCTGCAAAAATAAGTCTCTGCTGATCTGGTGGAATGCCTTCCTTGTCTTGGATCTTCGCTTTCACGTTTTCGATAGTGTCAGAAGCTTCCACTTCCAATGTGATTGTCTTTCCTGTCAAAGTTTTCACAAAAGATTTGCATTCCTCCTCGAAGACGTAGCACAAGGTGGAGAGTGGACTCTTTCTGGATGTTATAATCTGAGAGAGTGCGGCCGTCCTCAAGTTGCTTGCCTGAAAGATGAACTTAAAGATCTCTCTAAGACTGCACCGATTGGGCTTTTAATAATCTAATGAGCTCTTAATAACTTCGATAAGGGTTCCCCATGACATGATCAAGTTGAGAATCTCAGGGGATGAACTAACCGGCGAAGATAAGTCGCTGCTGATCTGGTGGGATGCCTTCTTTATCCTGAATTTTAGCCTTCACATTCTCGATTGTGTCAGAGGCCTCGACTTCCAAGGTAATAGTTTTTCCAGTGAGGGTCTTTACAAAGATCTGCATTCCTCCTCGGAGACGGAGCACAAGATGAAGAGTTGATTCTTTCTGGATGTTGTAATCCGAAAGAGTGCGGCCGTCTTCTAGTTGCTTTCCTGCAAAACATCTACCTTAACTAGTAAGTCCAAATGAGGGGACAAAAAAAAACTGACCGGCAAAGATAAGTCGCTGCTGATCCGGTGGGATTCCTTCTTTGTCTTGGATCTTTGCCTTGACATTTTCAATAGTGTCGGAGGCTTCAACCTCGAGTGTGATTGTTTTCCCGGTTAGGGTTTTCACGAAGATCTGCATGCTGAAAAGGTGACGTGTTAACCAGCGCCTGATGAGTCACCAATGCGAAATTGCGCAACGTATACAATCTGCAGCGTTTAGCTCACACGGTTGATATGCACAAGAAAGGATTGAGAAGTGCTGAACAATAGGTGGCAAATGAGAATACCAGAAGGCAAAAAAGAGAGCTCATAGCATGACAAAAAGAAAACAAGGAACAAAAAAGAGAGCTCGGCAGAGAAAAAGGGCAGGAACATCAGCTTTGATCGGACATTAATAGGGACAAATTTACGAGGGTGACGAAACACCCCATGAAATAGAGAATTGGATCTTATTCAGTTTAGCGATGCATCAGATCCTTTCCCAGACAAGCTAGGAATCGTGAGCCATGGGAGTGAGCCATCCCCCGGGAGTATGGGGGGTAGGTCGTTTAGCCGGGGGCAATTCAACTTACGCCAAAAGCTGGAATCGTTCGAGTTAAACACCTTAAGTGGCCGGAAACTGGCCATCCGAAATTGGCCCTAACCCCCCCCCCCGCCCCCCCGACTACCAGCCGTGTTCAGCAGCAATTGTACCAAAAACCACACAAACCCTTCAGAACTTCGCTCAGAAGGATTAGAAGGACTAAAGCAATGAAAGTGAGCACAAACGTTGAAATGAAGAGGTGAGCAGCGACAGGACACCACCAACCACGCCGTCCTCACCGAATGAAATAACACAAGCCGGACAACTGACGCGGATCGATAGTAAGCCCCGCCCATTTGACATCGTCTCGTCGCCCGACCGGCGGCGGGGGGAGGGCGTGGAACGCGCTGTCATGTCGACCGATCAGCTGATTGCCTTCGGTCAGCGACGATCGATGATCGATTAGTTTTTTTCGAAATGGTGGAGATAACAAGCCTCTAGCAACTGCTATGGGACACTTCAATGCTTTAACTAAGGAAGAAAACTCGTTTTGTCGGCGGCAGGGAGTGTTGCTGATCGCTTGACGAGATTGAACACGTTTTTGGGTATGTCTACATCTTCCGCTATGACATCTCATCTTTTTTTTTGAAGGAGCGAAGACTTGGGCACTGGTACGGTACCGTAATACACATTTCTTTTCAGGACCACCATCTTTGAATGGATGAATTCGGTATGGTTCACAAGTACAGGAAGACTTTTCGTTGCGGGAACCTCGGTCCACTAGTGATCAGCTGTGGACCTGAGGTTCCCGCAGCAAAAAATGTTTCGCGCTGCGAAACGCGAAAAAGTCGCTTTCTGTCCTAGTGAACCACACCCATGAAATTCCCATCATTTTCACGCCGTGAACATAGGCCTCGATTATAAAGAAGCTACGATAGAAATCCCTCCGTGCCTGGGTCAACCCTTCATAAAGCAAAGTTTGGCGTCCTTATAACCTTTCTACTGGAAGAGATTCTCATAAGAACCAACTGCAAGCCCTACTAGCACTTTTTTCTTTCCCCCACAGCGGCAAATCAGGCGCTGCCGAAAAGGCAAAAATTTTGGAATTTCCGAATCGAATTCAGTTTGAAATTCTATTTTTTCACGAAACAGCTCCATTTCCTACCTCACCTATACACTTACCTATTCATTCCACCTTATACGTCCCCCCTCGCAAAGGGAATG